TACCACTTAGGTGACTTAGGTGATTTATAGGCATCTCCAATAATATGCCCCAAACCAAATTCCTTAATCCATGCCCTGCCACCAACTCCACTTCCAATGTTCTCCACTCTCAAGAAATGATACTAACATGCACAGTCACTCAGGTCAGAACTAATGCCCCAGGCACCAGCAACCTCGATGGCTCACATGCAATCGTTCATAAAATCTTGTTGGTTTTACTTTAAAAATACCTCTCATATCTGAGTGCCTTTACCCCATCCCCCAGGAACATTCTGCCTCAGTTTTTCTGAACTTTGGCACTATTGACATTCTGCACTGGTTGATTCTTGGTCATGAGTTCTGTCCTCTGCATTGCACAACAGTTAGTGATATCCTGGCATTTATCACTAAATACCATCAGCACCACCAATGCTAGTTGTGATCATCAGGAATGTCCCTAGAAACTGTCAAATGCACCCTGCGGGGCAAATTGACCCCGTATTGAGGCACACCCATGGAAGCCAACCCACAGTATGGTCCCTGATCTGGAAGGTGCTTATGGTCCTGGCTTCCCTCTGAACCTTAACCTCTGACTGTTTCCCATCAGAAAGAGATATGTTACATTATGACTCATCATATGTTAGTTCCCTGATCAGAATCTCCTAATGGCACCCAACATGCTTAGAGGAAAGTTCTTTTGAGTGAAAGTCAAGCCCCTTATACCTCAAGGCCCTCCGCAAACCGATCTTAGCCTCAGCTTTGGCCTTGTTTGTCACCTTCCTTCCCCTGACTCAGCTGCTCCTGCCACATGGGCACATTTGCTCTTCCTAGGAAACACTGAGCAGATCTACGCTTGGCCTTTTCCCTGATCATGCCCTCTGTGCAAAACAGTCTTTCCCTGGGCATTTGCAAGGCTCATCCTCTCACTTTACTTTTTTTTTTAAGATTTACTTATTTATGCATACAGAGCTGGGGTACAGGCCAGAGGCTCAGGAGCAGTGAGAGGATTTACCGGAGAAGTAGGGAGCAGAACAGGCAGATTGATGAAGTACACTGCTGAGGGGAGCAGTGGGCAAGACAGGAGAGGCCTGTTGCATCATGTGAGTCGCCCCTCTGGCTGGGGATCACACAGTAGTGCTGGGACCAGCCTCGCAGTGCTGTGTTTTAACCTGTTGTGCCACCAAGGAGGGCTCTCTATTCTTACTTTTGTTTCCACTTAATTATCACCTTCTTTTCCCTTCCCTGATGATCCCATTTAAAATAACAGGGCCATTCTTTACACATCTACCTGGTTTGAATCTCCACACAGCTCCCTAACATATTATATGCCCACTTATTTACTGTGTGTTTCCTCCATTAAGAGTTCTGTAATAGTAGAAACATTGTACATTTTATTCATTTCCAAATTCCCAGCATCAAGGACAGTTCCTGACAAAGAACAGATGCCCAATAAACATTTGTCAAATACATGAATGAATGAACCAACTTGGGAGATTTTCAAACCACTTTGAAACTCTGCAGTAAGGAGATCATGCAATCTAATACGAAGCAAACAAAATATATTCTGCTAGAGCCGGTCTCCAAGTAAGGGCTGATGAAGAACAAGCTAGAATGTTGAAACTTGGGTTATCTGAGCATGTCACCAGAGTCTTAACTTTGCAAAAATTTCCTCAAGCCTCCTAGAGGGAAAAAGAGATTTGCCTCACAGGCTCATGAGATTTGCCTCACAGGCTCATGGGATATTGGGGTTCACAACACCAAGAAAACAAAGTGAAAATTTCTTTTCCAACTTGAAGAGAGGTAGAAGCTTGTCACAAAACGGAGGTGGGACAGAAGCAAAAACGTGCTGTTACAGTTTGGGCTCAGGACAACTACTGGCAAATAATGCCTTCAAGATTACAATGGTCTGGCCTCAGGTGCAACTTTTTGCTAGTTCAATGGAACAGTGGGCTTGAAAGAACTTTATCCATTGGTTTTCATGGGAAAATATGACTCTCTTATGGAAGAAAGCAGCAGGCAGAAGAAGAGAGGCAGTGCCTGAGCCACCCATTGCCTGTGGGGGTGATATCACAACAGTCAGATACCAGCATGGGGGCCAGTGAACTCAAGGAAAATAGCACCAGTGAACTCAAGGAAAATAGCTGACACTCACCACAGGTTCCCTATGAAATTTATGAAGGCTTGGGTTTCAGGGAAAAACAACAGGGTGAGCAAGGATTGACCATCCCTTCTCTGGCCAAGTTCAGAAAAACTAGGGAAATTTGCAACAGAGAAACCAGAAACCCAAATTACCCTTGAAGAAACCATGTGTTCTCAGGGGATGACACTTGTCAAATGTCAACTCTGTCATTTGAGCTTCAGTTTCTGGTCATCCAGGGTCTATACGGCTCCCCAAGGCTACTGTGATCAAAAGGCAGAGCCACTTATGGGTGTGGTGTGGGTTCCATGACCCTACCACACCCTAAATCACAGCCCATTGGGTCAAGGGCACTTGCCCTGAAGAGTGTCTACATTTTTTGCCATGAAAGCTCCTCCTCTCGCTACAGTCACAGGGCCATCAAGACTGGCTTGGCTGAATTGCTCTCTAGGTCTAAAGACAACTCGTAAGTATGGGGCACAGTAACCTTTGGCAAGAATACCCAACAGGAGCTCCCGAGCACGATAGGTGCTCCGTGAATAATAAGAGCTAACAAGTTGCATGCTCACTGTATTATATGACAGACATTTATGATCTGCTTTATATACATTATGTCATGAACCTTCAAATTATTCCTATGGGTAGATATCTTTTATTATTATTATTATGCTTTTTGATTTGGGAGACCACAGAGAGGTCAGTTTTCCAGGGCCAACAGGTGGAATGAGATATCTTAATCCCTGTTCCACATACACTATGCTCTATTTTCTCAAAGTGGGTGGTCTCTCTTTTCTTCACAAGCATCTTGCTGCCCTTTTCCATGCTGAGAAGTGAAGAAATGGCTCAGAAGTTACAACAGTGATGGGGTCCTTGGCAGAGGGGAGAGCAAAGTCACTACTGCCTGTGCCTGATGGACACCATGCTAGCCACACCGCCACAGGCTATGCTGTGCCCTGCCTGCAGAGGTGACGGCCAGAAGCCCCTTCAATTAAAGAGGTACCCCAACTGTCAGCATCTCCAGCTTGCCTCAGCCACAGAGAGCCTTGCCCAATATTTTATTCTTCCTAGATAGCAACATCCAACAACTGATGGGCAGACAATCAGAACTCACCGCAACTACCCAAGAATATTCTTGGACAAGGTTAATTCTGTATCCAACTTTGTCAATACCATAGCCCACAAGAATTTATTATATTTGAACAGCTCACTGAGGGAAACGAAGGGGCTCTTGGAGCTGGAAGAACTGATCAAGGGCCTGAAATCCTTGAGTTCTGGGCTGAGGGTAGACCTGACTACACTCAGGACATACTGGCTGGGAAGTTCCAGGAAGCTCAAAGATAGTAATGATCTAACATAATGATCTAAAGAAAGTAGCTTTTAAAAAGCATACGCATATACACACTAACTAGGCTTAATTAACTGTAAGGACTGAAGACTTCAAAATTATAAAGCTCTTGATAGAATATCTGTGACTTCAGCATAGGGAATGATTTATTTTTTTTTTCAATACAAAAAACACACCAAAAAGGAGAAGATGTATACTCTTCCTACAAGGCCTTCTATTAATCAAAAAGAAATTTTATAAAGAGACTAAAAAGGCCAACTGTTAAGAGGATATTATCATCAATGGAATAATAATAGTAGCAAAGCACTCATATTTAGGATATATATAAAGAATTTTTGAAGTATATATAAGAAAAAGGCAAGCAATTCAATAGAAAAATGAGCAGATGGTGTGGGGACAGGCATGCACTTGACAAAAACCCACAAGTAGCTAGAAAGATATGAAGATATTCAACCTCAACTACAGCCAGGGAAATACAAGGGGCTATCGAGAGGGGAAAAATGACAAATTTTCATTTTCAAAAACAGGAGAACTACATGCATAAACTACAGAGAACAAGAGAAGAGTTAACAGAATTCAGATTAGTTGTGCAGGAGGTTGGCAGTTGCAGGGAGGGCCTTTGAAGTGCTGACAATGTGCTATTTTAGGGACTTGCAGCTCATAGGCCAAACCTGGTTCACACCTTTTGTTTTCTGCTGGGAGCTAAGATAGCTTTTTAGCTGTGAGCTAAGAGAGTTTCACATTTTAAAGGATGGAGGGGAAATTAAAAGAATAGTATATTATGACATGCAAGAGTTAGATGAAATTCAAATTTCAGGGTGATATAAATTTACTGGAGCAGAGCCAAACAGAGCCTGTTTGTTTACATATTATCCATTTCCCTCTACTCCAACTCCCCACACCCGCCACACAAAGCTACCCCTTCTCTATTGGAAGATAATTCTCAGAGTCTGTTTCTGCATGTCTTATGAGCAAAGGCACTAGCTGCTTTTGTTCTAGATTATCTTGTCAAGAATGTGTTGAAAGTGAAAGCCTCCCAAGACAGAGATAGTGTTTCCCCTCAGAACAAAAAATTAGCATGCCCACTGCCCAAGATAAATATTTCAGATTCCCTAATGTCAGCATTCCTCTTCTGTAACATAGCCCACAGTGAGTTGTGAGCAGGTACTAACTGGTCTTCTTTACATCATCCTGCAAACTGGGGCAGAGAGAATAAAGCAAGAAAATGTTGATACTCTTAGCTACTGCTGCTCCTGTGTGTAATAAATAATCCTTGGTTCCTGACCTGGAAGATTTATGTCTCCCACCAGCAGCTGTGGGGTGTAGCAGCGTAAATGCCACACCATTCACAGTTTCTGCCATGCCCTCCCTCTTCCCACACATTATACAGATGAGAAAAATGAGGCCAGGAGAAGGGCTGTGACTGGCCCAAGGTCACTGCACTGATGAACAGCAACTCTAGTACAAGAGCTCATATTTCTCCCTGCCAGTACAGTGCTCATTCCTGCCTCCACCTCACAGACAAAGTCTGGGCCTTACCTTGCACCTCACATCTGAAAGTCTCGCTGACCACTCCAGTATTATTCTCCTTCTCCGCTGGCCACTGATACACGTAGAATGTAGTTCTGGTAGACCCGGCATCCAGCACGATTCCATGCTGAATAGAAGGGGAAGGGAGAGTCAGAAATGGCTGTGCCTTTCTGAGGACTCCTTTTCCCAGTGGGTCACTGAGAACCCGAATACTATTGAGAGTGTTCTCCATACTCCTTCACTGAGATCGAGGCTGACCAAGAACATAAACCTGTTTCTCCAAAGAGACCTTGTCCTCTTGGACAGTGGGGGAGTGAATAGGGGGAGGTGGTCATGTGTGTCTGCCTTGGCCACACATTAGAATCATTTGGGGAACCTTTGAAACTCCCAAAGCCAGTACTGTACTCCAGACTTATTGAATCAGAAACCTTGGGAGTGACCCAGGCATCAGCATTTTTAAAATTCCTTTGGTGATTCTAGTATACAGCCTAGTTGAGAATCCCAGGATCTTATGTGGGAAGAAACCCTGATTTCTCTTCATCCTGATCTCTGAAGTGGGGAACAGAAGTCCTGTAGGTTTTAGGAGGGAAACAGATAATCAGACCCACCTGCTACCCTCTATTATTCAAACATCCAAGGAATAAACAACCAGCCGAGAATAAAAAGAGACACATTACTATCTGCAGGCTTCAGAATGAAGTGTTCACTGATAAGGGGAGAAAGCCAAAATAAGGTTGACTTTTGTTCCACATTGGTTGAACCCTACCAATCTTGGGTGGGACCGGGGGTGTCGCCAGGATGGTGCTGGGGGTGTCTGTGTATGTAGGTGTGTAGGCTGGGACAATCTTGCCCTGCTCAGGTAGGGCACCAGGGAGCTTCACTTGGAATGTAAGAGTCAGCCCAATCTCTGGACAGAGACTGACCAGCAGAGCGCATGTATTAGCAGCCTCTGGGGGTTGGAATGTCTAGTTATGCCCAGAGTCAGCTGAAGATGTTGAGGTTTTCTGAGCTGCATCTTTACCCCAGCTCCCCCACCAAGAGGTTAATCTACCTGTTCCAGGGAGGAAGGTGAGGTTGTCCTGGCAGCAGCCTGACTCAGATGGAGCCTTGCTTTTATGACCCTGGGTAAATGCCTAGCCTGCATGAGTTCCCTCTTTAGACCACTGACTTTAAATAGGAGATCGCATACCTAATTGCCTGATGCTTGCTGACTATTCAACTAACACAGGTTGTTATACATAGAAAAATCATTAAAGTCAAATAAACAAAATGACAAAGCAATAAAAAGAGGAAAGGAAATTAAGTAACACATTTCTACTCTATAATTTTAACAAGTTGTATTTGTATCTTTTCTAATAGTCTTCCGTACAGACAGCTACATACATATATCTATGTTTCAACAGTTTTTTTTAAATCAACAGTCTTATCCAGTGCTCTTTTTTTACTTTAAAGTAGATCATGGAATCCCTGCCAGTGAAAATAGACCAACATCACGCTTTTCAATATATTTATACAAACTTATTTAACTGATTCCCTGATTCTGGAAATTTGGGAGGTTTCCAATTTTCAATTCTCACAAATATTTCATTTGAAATGGGACCAAATTTTTAAAATGCTGCTCCAGCCCCTGCTCCAGCTTCTACATTCTATTGTGATAGAACATCCTGTATACACTGCTATTTGAACTTGGACAGCCTCTTAATCTCACCCCTTCCATCTAATGAATGTTGAAGGGGATGCTGACAGGAAGCCCCTCCCACTCCCCCAGCAACAAGGGCCACATTGTTCACGGTGTGTGTTCCCAGCACAGGCTACCCTGAGATTAAAGTGCAGGTTGAGACCAAAAGAGACAGCAACAGAGGCCTAGCCTGCAAGTGACCCGTCCGCTCTCGGTCCTCCCACCTGCTCTGACCTGATCGCAAGAGCGCCAGCCCCTCCATGCTTGGCACTGACTCACAAGAAAACGAGTAAGAGCAGCTACTTCGGAGGTTACCTGCCTTCCCCCGAATCACCTTTATTCCAATGCTTCACCAAGACTGTGTTACAGAACCCAGGGTTTCTGGGCCAAGATCAGAGTCTCAAAGTCAAGAATGGCCATTCTTCTCTGACGCAGGCTTTCAGCAGGGTGGCGGCAGCTAGAGATTCTGCTCTGGGAACCTGGAGGGGTGGCTGCCTGGGGTACCACAGTGCCTCCAGAGGCTGGTTTGGAGGCCCACTGCTACTTCTCACTAGCACTGATCCACCGCCACCATTGTTAACCAACATTTTCAAAAGTGGAAAAAATAGGTCTTTGATCAGTTCTCAGAGATCAGTCGCCAGATTAGTGGAACTCAATGTGTTTCCACAGAGTGGGCATGGAGGAAGGAATAATTTCATTCAGTTCAGCTAGGCGGGTGATGTCTGCATCAGAAGTAATCAGTGATTTTCTTTCTAATGTAATGTCTGAAAAAAATGGCTTGCATAGGGAACTAAGGACATACTCAGTGGATCAACTTAAAGGACCAATCTGTATGACTCCATGTCCAAAACTCAGCATCTTTGCTTGCCTCTGACAAAACCAGAAGGAAGGGCCATAAAGTCAGTTTTCTAAGATTGAGTTCTTATCATCATCATCATTATCATTTTTGCTATAATGATTAGTAGTAACAAACCCTTATTAAGTTCTTGTAGCATGCTGGATGCTGCCGAGCACATCAGTGTCACTGCTACCATCATCCCCAGCTGACAGATGGGGAAACAGGTACAAGGAGTCAGTGGCAGCCCAAAGTCACAGATGGGATCCAACCTGGCCTGACCCTCAAATTTGTATTCATAGCCCCCACACTTTCCCTTGAGTTCCAAAGAAACCAGTTCTCGTAGTAATAAGGTGCCTGGTATGGTATTGGTATGGCTGACTTTCCTTGTTCTGAAAAATGTAAACTCGTGAAAGCAAACTCTTAGATAAGTGGCATGCAGATCTGGCTGGAGAGGACATGGACCAACGTGAATAAGGAGCCAGGGCTTTTGGAGAAGAAACCAAATATCCAACTCTTGCTCTTCAAAGAGTAGAAAGCCAAAGGCACCAAAGACCCTGGTGGGTGACTCAGGCCAGTGAGGCTTAGAAGGAAATGGTTTCAATAAAACCTAGCCAATAGTTGTACTGGAAAAAGTAATGGTCCAGCGTGGGAGTGTGACCCACACAGGGGACAAATGTGACCTAAGCAGGTCACAGCAGAAAAGCTGCATCCCTAAATGAGACAGTGCAGACCCTTCAACAGTGATGTTATGATGCCTGCCAGAGGGAAGGGGCAGAACGTTGATCATACCGGGTTGGGGAGCTATGGTTTCTGCACACTTGTGCCTGGGACAAGGGAGCCCAAAGTCTCAAGAGGAAGATCATGGACTTAGCGATAATAAAGCAGATGGGGGCCTGAGTGAAAAATAAAGCAATGTCATCATGTTTATTCTCGAAGCTAGTAAAGCAGGTCAGGCCAGTGACAATGAAAAAGGGACTTAGGACATATTTGATCCTTGACTAAGTGTTAATAGTCCTGCTTTTAAACCCATATAAACCAAGATGAGGTAAGCCAAGGTTGGATATAATAACCAGGTATCATGACCTAACATGATGGTCTTGAGGAATATTCCAGGGGCCCCATGAGAGGTCACTGGGGAGCTGTCCCCTCACTACCAACTATTAGCTGCATATAGAGGCAAAACAAGGCTTGTGGTATGAAAATACAACCATCAAAAAGTTCCATATTCATTGAACTCCAACAACCACCCTTTCTCCCCCTAGAACTCCAAGAGGAATGAGGTCTTTCAACACCCAGGCAAAGCTGCATGTAGAATTGTCTAACCATGTCATTCTGTCCTGGGTTCAACTAGCTCGAACAATTGTTTTTCTTATATTTAATGTATCCAAAAATGGATCTTCTGAGTCCATACTCCAATACAACTTCCTGTCCCCTATGTCTATGACTAGAGCTTCCTAACAAGATACTGAAGAAATTAAAAATCTCTACTTTGAACTGTCTGCTAGCTGTGGAGTTTCTCTAAATCCTCACTTAAGGCCAGTGCACAACAACAGGACCTTCTATGCCAGTTCACCTGTTTTCAATCGGTGTACCTGCCCACACCCCTCAGAACCTAGCACTCTGAGTTATCCAGCCACACACCTCCCACCTGCCAGAGGCTTTCTTTGGAGGCCCGAGCTCACAGTGCGTCAGAAACACTAGAGTTAATATTCCCAGGGGGAGGAGACTCTCAATCGATGATTGATGGAAGCTGCTGAGCAAACACACCCTTGAGTAGGATCGCAGGTGTTTTCTAAGTCCTTTAATCAAGGACAACTCCACAGTGAGTTCCGCCCTGGCTCACAGAGACCCCATCAGGTCTGAGCCCCAGATGCCCACAGCGGTAACTGGCTAACCGGCCCTCCCCTGGCTGCCTTCTTTCACTCTTACGTCTCCATCTCCTTCCTGTATCCTGGTCTCAGCCCCAGAGGACCTCTTTTTTTTTTTGCCCATCTTTCACTCAGAGAATCCACCCCAAGACAGTAGGCTTAAACATGCGGGGGGCCCCTTCCCTCAATGGTGACCTCTGTACTGCCCAGGACCTACTTGCCTCTACTTAGTTGATACCTCCAGCCTTCTAATTTCTCCATGTCCCTCCAGTGTGACAGAGGACTCTCTTCATACTCTCCTCGTATCTCCCAGAACAAGTGGAAGCCAGCAGCTGGCAATTCTCTTAACCAGCCCATATCCAACCTTTATGGGTCTCAGAGAAAATCTTATAAATGAAGGCTTTTGTCTTGTTTCCACCCTCTCCCCACAGGCCTATTCTCCCCAAATCTTGGCAAATCCAGAGCAAAGAGCCTTATGTACCCGTATGTTGACTGCAGGTGGGACAGTTCAGACCCCACATCTGTACCCTTCTAAGGAGGTGCCGCTTTGCCATTCCTCAGGCCATTGGCTGTCAGGCAGAAGCCCACACTTACCCTGAATTCTAGAATCCCAGATATCATAGCATTTTTCTAGAAGGGAAAGCATGGCTCTCATATTCCCTGGCCCCATAGATAAACCTGGAGTGCAGATAGAGGTGGTTCCTCTGAAATATGAGGCCCATGGCAAGGGCCCCAATTATCAGGGTCTAAAAATGGTATTAGCCTCCAGCTGAACTGGGGGGTACTTCCACCCCACCTCCACCCCAACTCAACATGTCTTCTGGCATGTACCCACTCACCTCCCCCTGTTCCCTTCTGTGCAGAGGTGGAAATGCTCGATCAGAGGCCAATACCTCCTCCTCCTGGTTTCCCATTCAGATCTTAGGATCAGGGAGGCAGGTGAGTGAAGAGCCCCGGCCTGGGCATAGGAGGCACTGGGTTTCAGTTCTGGTCCTGCCATCCACTGGCCAAAGCTGTTTCCTCATTTGCAAAATGGTGGTCACATGTTCGCATCTGCCCACTTCTTTAGTGGGCCTAGGGTTAAATGAGATAATTTGGGGAAAGGCATTCACTAAACCCAACAACCGTCTACCAAGTATAAGGAGACAGTCCTCACTGCAATCCTGATTTCATATTGTTCATAAACCAAGGCAGTGCCTGGAGCTTAGGAAAACAGCCTCTTTTGGCTTTAGCTAATGTCTTTGGACAACCAGATAATTTGTTTTCCTCTCACTACTGGATAATTGCATAAGCTTTTGTTTTGATTATTCATGTTACCCAAGAGGGCTGATATTCTTAAAGAAAATGTCCTATAAAGGCACCAAATGTCATTATCTAAAGGAGATTTTACTTTAATCCTTTAGAAAAGTGACCTCAGAATGATAGCTCAAACTCACCCCCAGTACCAAAAGCCATATTTGTTTGTTTCTTATCTTTTAAACACTTCTATTTCAAACAGCCTTTGAAAAGTCACTAACAGCAGGAAGATTAAGAAATGCTAAATGACTCAAATAAAATAGTTGGTTGAATAACTTGGCCCCCTATGGCCCTACAGCTAAGGAGGGCTTTTTTTTTTTTTTTACATTTTTGAAGAGTAAAATCAAAATCAAGGGAAGGTATGCACCAGAGATGATAAATGAGCCCCAAAGCCTAAGAAGTAGGCCCTTTACCGAGGAAGTTTGCTGATCTCTACCCAAAATGAAGGAAGGACTTATTAACTCTCTTGACCTTTCATTGAGTCCTTCCTGGGATGGCTCTCCTCTCCAAGGGCCTCCTCATAGCCAAAGCCAAGATGACAAATACAATCCTCAGCCTCCCAGAGACCACTCAAGAGGTCAGAATGGGATGGACTTACCAAGGCCCGAGTGAGACCTCTGGAACTGAACAGAAGATCCTGAATTATTTCGAAGGGGGAATGATCAGCGGGATCACAGTGCACTTCTAAATTCAAGAGAAGTTGCTTAATATAGCTCAAGGTGACCATTCTAAGTCCTTGATGACCAGGGTAGACCCTAAGAGCACCTGGGTCTGTGTCTCATAGTCAGACCTATGTGGTCTAGGGAGAGGACACACTGATAAAAATGGAAGCTGCACCAACTGGAAAATCTTTGGAAGGGCTACAAATTCTAACTTCGGTTCCACCGCAAGTCATCACAGCAAGACCACACAGTTCATGAAGGTGCCACCACCATCAATCTGTAACCAGACAGCACAAAGCATATCCAGACTTTTGTCTGTGGGTCTTACACTACTTTTTAATGGCTCCAGCCTGAGGCAGGGGGGAAATATTCTCTTCTAATTCAGGATGTTAGAATACTGGATGACACAGCTCATTTATACCCTTTACACTTACCTTTGGTTCCGGAGAGACAACCACTTTATGGAAAGCCTGGACGAATGTGAGAATTACAATCACTACAATGCTCACGGCCAAGACCACTGTGGTAATGATGACTGGGATTCGGATGGTATTTCGGCCTGAAATGGGGAGATCCAGAAGACACGTGAGGAGAAAGTAGGAACCAGGTACTAACCTTCTCTGTATAAACTATGCACTGAGCTGATAACATGTACATTCCTCTGGCCTTCATAAAGCCCACACTTTTAAGGAGAGCAGCCACGGACTCCAACCCTCTTCAGACTCCCCCAGCACAAAGTAGATTAATATTTTGGCTCTGAATAGGAACTCAACTTCAGTCATTTTTCCTGCATCTACAAGTGAAAGCATCAGGTCTCACCTACATCTCTACAAATGAAGAGTAATTAGACTTCGATTCACATTCCATACCAAAGAGGTCATAGAAAACATGGGTTAATATATCAATATATTTAAAAGCAAAGAGAAGCACATAGCTAATCTTCAACTAAATATAGCGCCTCTGAATAAAAAAATGTGTACTGTGTAATATAAAGTGCACCATTTTTGACTATATTTATTATATGTAATATTTGTAAATAGATGATTAGAAGTTGATAGGCTTTGAGCAAACTGGTGAGAGCAATGGCAATTTTGTAAATAAAATAGCAACTGTGTTAAAAAAAAAAAAACTACTGGGTACCACATTAAGTTCTAAAGTAGGCAGGTGATAGAAATCAGAAGAATGATTGACTGGGGATTTGAAGCAATTCACTGGGAAGGAACATGTGGGCACTTTGGGGATAATGGAACCACTCTATATCTAATAATGGGGTACATAAGTGCATGCGTTTGTTAAAATGCAATAAACCTTTCAGCATCTTTTAGGGAAAAGCTTGATATTTAAAGTAAACAAGCTCCTTAGTTATAATTTCCCTTAAAAAATTTCTTACAGATTGTGCCTATTCAAAAGAAATGTTCTTTTGGGGGGGGAAAAAAAAACCCAGATGGTAGCAGGAGTATAAAGGACCAGGAGAGAAAATAATAATAATAATAATAATGAACAACTATATACCAGAGACATTTTAATGGGATCAAAAATGGGGGAAGTGGGGAAGTGCACTGGACTATGGTGATGGCACACGGGTGATTTGATGATGGGAAGCCCATGGGGATTACAACTGAGGTGGGAAAAGGCACGCAATTATGTAAAAATAAACTTACATTATTAAAAAATATATTAAAAAACAAAAACATATCCTTTTGGAATGCAAGAATATTCAATTTGGGGGTCACCACTTAAGACCTATCCACTTCACTGCATGTAAATTATACCTATATTTCTAAAAGGTAAAACATTCAAATACTCAATAAATAATAGCCTTGGAAGAACTATTATGTCATAATAAATGGTGGTACCCAAATGACCAAAATATAATAAATACTAGCATAAAAGAAAGCTTTCTAGATTCAGAGAATCCTAAGTGTGTCAGCTCTTGGGTATTTACATGTAAATTAATTAAGATTAAATTTAAAAAAACTCCGCTCCTCAGTTTCACTAACCATCCTTCAAGAAGTTACTAGCTCCCATATTGGAGAGAGCAGCTACAGAACATCTCCATCGTCAAGGAAACCTCTCCTGAACACTGACTGTTATTTCTAGGAGACAGTTCTCTAGAAGAAAAAAGGAATTACATTCACCCGAATGCCCAGTCACATCACAATATTCACTCCTTGGTAAATCAAGTAGTCGGTCTCAATGACTCAGAAGACCCAACTTTCTGCCCCACCTGATCCCCCTCTGTAGAGACGCCACCACAGACACTTCCTAATGTCAAAGGTGGTCACTTAGTTCTCCATTCTTGTCACCGGGAATGTGAACTGGCACAGCATCCAATTTGGCAATATTTATCAAAAATACAAATATGTCTACCATCAGACTCTCAACCCCACATCTGGAAACATGTGCCTGGTACGCATAAGATGGCTATTCACAGTCACTCATGTGGCTTGTGACAGCAACTGGAGGGAAGCTGATCACCATGTAATCGACCTTCAGGCCTCTGCAGGGGTCTGAGATGACTTCTCTGTGATTCCCGGTAGACGTAAACCATCAGCCAGGAACCAGTTTATCCACAGAGGCAAGTTTTGCATCAATTTTTAAAGAATGTATGTCAGCGTCAGTTACAGAGGTTTAAGGGATTTACCCCCCATAACTAACAAGTTAAACCCGTCCTCTGGAAAGAATATAACACGTATGTGTGATGTTACTGTATGGGTTAAACTTCAACAAGATTTTGGAAAAGCCTGAAAATCAAAGTAAACCAGCTCCTTAGGGACAATTTCCCTTTGCAAAAATTAGATTCATATAAATTGCCACTGCTGTATCTAATTTAGGGGAAAGGCCAAAAAAGCTCTATCACAGAGAGGGAGGGGGTGCAATGTGAGCACTTTCCTCACCACAGTCACACATTGGCCTCCCAAGTCCTTTGTGCTTCAGCAGTTTTCAGGTATACGCTATGATTACCTTAAGCAAACCCTTCCCAGCAGAAAGGCCCAAAGCAAACTGGACCAGGCCAGGTTTCACTCATTTAAGGAATGCCGCCCAGAGCTGTGCTGTCATTAGGGCAGGATAAACATTGTAATTAAAAGTTACCTACCTGATCGTGGAGGGGCCATGTCTTCCAAAAAAAAAAAAAAAAAAGCTCTAAAGACAGGCAGGTTGGGAGGGTCTGGAAGTGTGCAGTGTGCATATGTGTGTGAATTCTGCACATGTCACTGCACTATCACAAGTTAACAACAGACCCAAAATACGGGTGAGGATGCTGTATGTAGTTCCCACGCCGGCAACAGCACTCTAACAGAGGAAAGCGCTACATACTTCACAATTCATCACAAAGTCAAGAATAACCGAACGCACACCTTACACGTGGCTGGGTAAGGGAAACCGCCAGGACCAAATTAATGGATTATGCAAACCGGAAAAACCATTTAAGCGAAACATACATGTTAGTCCTTGTTTTGTGTAGCTTTGATGAAAAGCATTACTTTTATCTAGAGGAATGCCAGTGGCAAAAGCCCCAGCGAGCAAGTGAGTCTCCGACCAAAGAGGTGAAAACAGTCCTCCTTGCAGGGATGTGGATGAAAAAACCGTGGGTGTGAAGCTGGGGTTCGCATGTGAAGTGACAAAATAAATCATCCTTGCTGCCTGCCGAGCGATACTAACCTTCTTGGCCGCAAGGTTGTCTGGTCACCACAGTGAGCATCTCGCCTCCCAGCTGCAGGTGAGAGAACAGAGTGACATGGACCCTGACTTCGCAAGTTTGAAAACCGTACACTGCATTAAACATAAACCCACTTCACTTGGTCCAAATCAAAACCTCATGGGGAACAGATGGACCGAGAACTTCGGAGACAGACCCAAAGCTGGGTTAATTCTAGTGTCACCTTTCCAGATGCAGGTGAAGGACTGAAAGAAAATTAAACTGAAAAAAAAATTTTTTTAAAACAATATTTTCTCTTGCAGATTTTCCCACCTGTCCGCACAGCCCGGGCAGAACAAACCTCCCACAGACTCTGAAACGTCCACAGGGCTGAGGCAAGGCTGTTCCTCAGGCACACCAGCAAGGACGCGTTCTGCGGGAATCGGCCCGGGAGCCTGGAGTTGCCCCTTTCGAGATCCAGGAGGGGTGGCTGGAAATACGCGCCAGGGGACGTCGCCCCCACGCCCGCCCCGGAGCCAGAGCCCCACCGACTACTTCGTCTCCACGCGGCCCCCGGCATCTGGGCGCCCCGCGCTTCTCCAGCCCGCGGAGGCGCCGGGGAGAGCCGAGTCCGCGTCTCCTGGCAGGCTGGGACCGCCTCCCCGCGGAGCCAGGATTTGGGGCTCCCGTTCTTCGTTCCCTCCCTCCAACACCGCGGAATCCGATTCCGTTTCCTTCCCCCCAGCTCTCAGTCTCGCGAAGCTTCCCGCCCCCTCCGAGGCAGCCCGGCGCGGGGCCCGGGTCTTCACCTGTGCGCGACGCTCGGAGGGGACCTGGAGCCGTGCTGCAGAGGCGCGCGGCCGCCAGCGCGCCCCGGGGCTTTTTGGCAGCTGCCGGCGCCGGGGCGGAGTGGAGGGCGGGGCGGGGGAGGGGCAGCGGGGGGGGAGGGCCGCCACTCTGGGCACCCACCTCCAGTATTCGTAGTGGGGGAAGAAAGGGGGCCAGGAACCGCTTCTGCCTCCTGCAGGGCCCTCCGCTCTTTCTGGGACCAAGCCAAATTGCACTTCACCTTCCCCTCTCCTTGCTCCTGCCGCCGCCTCTTCTCCCGAAGACTGCACCCAGGCCTTGGTACCCCAAACCTACCTTTCTGGGCCAGCCGTGGGGAGGGAAAGAGGTGTCCACTGTTGGTCTCCCTCAGAGCCAATAATCTTTGTTCGCTCTTCTAGTGTCCTTCACGGTGACCCCAAGTCTAAAAGGGGAAGAAGTAAGGGCAGATTGAATACCCTGTGGGGTCTCACTAGTGGAGCCTGTGACCCAGCTCTCCGTGGAGCCGAGATTGGCAAACCCCTGTAATGTTGGGGACGAGGTCAGTAGGTCCACGGATCCCTGGGTGGGGAGCGTAAAGTAATGCAGATGTTTCCTCTGATATTTTAGTAATCCTGACCTTACATTAGGAAGGAACAGTCTCACCGATTATTGAGCAATGCTCTCCCCTTCCACATTTTATTTGGGTGTCATTAGGCCAAAATTCAGGACAAGGACTGCCTGGAAGAGGCCAATTAGGAAAGATGACCAAAATGCAGCCTAGGAGCTGCTGTTTGTCAAATACTCAGGAGTCTGTTTTGGAATCGGGAACATGCAGCTTCCTGGCTCTTCAGACTGACCCCAACGATATTTGGAATGATCTCAGTGATTAAAACAGTCTGGTTTGGGCACAGGAATATACTGAGAGAGCAAAAAAAAAAACAAAAAACAAAAAACAAAGGAGAGTGTCCAATATCAGACTAGTGGATATGGGATTTAGTATAAACACAAAGAGGAGGTTGAGAGAACACATTATTCAATAACTGGTGTTGAAACTACTGGCTCACTATTTGGAAAAAATCCCAATCACACATCATATGTAAAAATGGATTTTAGATAGATTAAAGGTTTAAATATATAAAAGGATTTAATATCCTGAAGGAACATTCTCTTCTAAAACGTGACAAAAGCAGGAAGATCAAGTCAATAAATGTGAACTCATAAAAATGTAATCACTGCATGGGAAAGATAGCCAAGTCCACCTTAAGGGATAAATTGTGGTAACATACTGAGAATTTAATATCATAGGTGGATAGCAAAGAGTGGGAAATCTGAACTTAAAATGATCACACATGTCTATAGAAATATATGAGTGGGCCCTCCCTGGTGGCACAATGTGTTAAAGCCCAACACTGTGAGCTGTCTGCAGCCACTGTAGCACAAGTTGGATCCCCAGCCAGGAAGCTGACTCACGTGGCCCAGCAGACCTCTCCTGACCCGCCCGCTGCTCCCCTCAGCAGTGTACTTTGTGGATCTGCCTGTTCTGCTCCCCACTCTTTCTCTGGTGAATCCTCTCACCACTCCTACTGACTCTCTAGACTCAGTACCCCAGTTCTGTATGCATAAATAAATCTTTAAAAAGAAAAGAAATATATGAGTATCTAAAACAGAAAAATGGACAAGTAACCTGCACTGGTCAATAGACAAAATTCACACACGGCAAAGATACTAACCTCATTTTGTACCTCCAAAGTGCCAATAAAACTTTGCTGTCTTTAAACTAGATTTTTGAAAAACAGATGTGATGTGCTTAGCAAGGCTTTAAAAGGTCTGTGGTGCTCTGTGCTGGAGAGAAGGGTCACAACAGCACCTCCCCAAGCTCTGGGATGTGACGTGTCTGGGTTCTCCTTCCACTCTCTGGATGTTTCTGGCTGGTTTGCACTCCTCTCTCAGCAGACTCTCTAGACTCAGTCCTGGGCCCTCTTTTCTCTTCACTTTGTGCATAACGTCATCTGTGCAAATTGCTTCCATTTTATTCACAGAAAGACTTTCAAATGCCTATTTCCTGTGACTTCTTTTGGATGTTATTTCCCCCCTTAATTTCTTACCTTTGATAGCCATCATATTCACTCAGTTTGGAAACACTGGTATCTAAGACTAAGCAAAAATCCTTATTGATAATACCTATGTTATTTTTTTCCAGTTATGTGTATTGGGTACTGTGGGTTTAACTGTACTTACTCTAGGAGCTATGAGTTCAAATGTCGACAAACACATTCCTCCCCACCTTGCCCATGTCAAAACCCCCATAAGCTCCCACCATGTTCCTTCTGGCTTCCTCCCTTCCTGGCTCTTCTGCTACCTTCCCCCTCTGGTTGCCTCAGTTTTGCAATCAGACTCCAAGGGTTTGCTATTGGTTTGGTTTTATGTGGCTCTTTGCTTTTTTTGTCTGTATTCCACTTCTCTTTTGGATGTCCTAAAGGCTCCCCAGTTTAGTAGGATCAAGCTGAACTCCATATTCCCCCCCCCCCCCTACCCCCCCCCACCCCCCATCAAGCCTTCAACTCCTTCAGCATTTGGTGCCTAGGGCATGATGAGAGCCTCCCTCCTTCAGATAAGCCAGCCAGAAACCTGAGGGTTATCTTTAATAAACTTTTCCTCATTCCTCACAATCAAGTGATCACCCTCCTGATTTTCACCTCTTAATTATTGCTCCAAAATTACTCTGTCCCCACCATTACTGCCTCTGAGCCAGGGCTTCTCAGTCTGGACATGATTTGTATTTCAGGGCAGATAATTGTTGTGAGAGTGCAGTTGTGTTTGTAAGATGTTTATCTAGTACCATCCGTAACCTTTACATGCCACTAACACCCCTCCCCTCCCAACACAGCATGTGACTTCTAGAGATAACCTCAGATACTTCCTAGTGTCTTCTAAAGGGGTAACTCTCTCTCGTTAAGAGCCACTGGCCTGAGCTGCCATTTTCTCTCCTGGATGCTGGCCACAGTCTCTTTCACCTCCATGTCCTCTTTCTCCTTTCCTCAACCATTTTTCTCACTGCCACCAGCCTCATCTTTTCAAAACACCAGTTCACACTGCAACACCCTCCTTTGCAAACTCTTCTGTGCTGTCCCCCTTTCAGGCAACACAGACTCAACTCCGCAGCACCTGCGAGACCCTGCGCGGCCTGCTCCCTCCGCGTCTGCCTTAGCTTCTTTCTTTAGGGCACTGTCCAGGTTTTTCAGATACACCTTATTTCCTCCTCGCACAGCCTATGTACATTATTTCCTTGCCTGCAGTATCTGTTCTCCTTTCTATCCTTTCCTAATTAGCTCTTATTTACATTTTCTTTTCTTAGATGACATTTTCATTCTGGCTCAGAGACTTCATCAACTCCTCTCTGACACTCCCCACTTGGGCCACACCCCAGCAGGGGTCAGACCCCAGTGCTGTGCTTGCCCAGGGGGCACCCCACTCCTCAGCTGGTGCTCCTTATGGTCACTGTAGAACACAGGACACCCGTTGCTCACCTCCGTGACAGCTATTCCAAGATACCAACCTCCTGAATGGTTTGCAGGTATCAGGGGTGCCAAGAAAGCATGATTCATACATGTCCCAGGAGGAGCAGCACCTTATACAGAGAAGAGACAGAGCAAGATGAGCTTTAATAGCCAGTGCGTGTGCCCTGTGAGCAACAGGGCTTTCCCCACTGCGGGAGCAGGGGAATGGTCGGCATGCATGCCCTCAGTGTTGCAGGTAAAGGACCTCATTCCCTCCCCAGTGGGTTTGAAATATAGAATGCTGTAGTGTGCTTGATGGTCACTGACCCATGTGTTTATGCAAAACAAACAAGTACACGTCAAACCCGGAACAGAAAAGATATTCCAAGCAAAGAGATTATGCCCAGCAAAGCAGTAAAGACTCTCTCTTGTAAAGATTTCCAGGCTCAAGGCTACTTTCTATGACCACACAGGGGTGAGAAGCTGTGTGTGATTGCTTTTCCTAACAGTTTACCCCCAGCTGCTTCTTCCCACTAAAGCAGCAGATACGGTACAACAAATCTCATAGGAACACCATCTACTTTGAGCATAAAACTGAGTCTGATTAAGCCCCTGGGCCACACTCATAGCTTTTGCTCGAGAGTTTCATTGTCATTTTGAGATAGCACGTTACAGGGTTACTCAGGAAGACCAGACTCAGGAAAATGATCAGACCCCTCTAGTGAATTGTCTTCAACCATAGCTCCTGTGCCTGGAATAAGCCCATGGATGAGGTCAGAAAATGCATCCATGGGGCTGCTCATAGCCACCCTTCCTGAGCACGGAGCTTGCCCAGCTCAGTTTCTATTGTCCTTGAGTAGTGGATCTACACAGCCAGATATCGATTAAAAGAGGTGTTGGCAATAACACAAACATCACCGTATTCCACCAATGGGTGTCCAGCATCACCTTGATGACTCCTGCTGGTTTTAGAAAACCGGAGCAAGGCCTGAATTATAGCCCTACGAGGCCATCTCATTGTGAATGTGGGACAAAAGAGACCTCAATTTTGGGTGACAGATCCAGCATTGTTAGAGTTTGTCATATCCAGCTAGTTATGATAAATCTTATCAGACAGTTCCAGCTCAGGCAGGCAGGGGAATGAGAAAAGGAAAAGTTAATGCTGCTCTCCCCTTCCTACCTCCCAAGGCCAGAGCTTATTTTCTTGCTAAATGATTATCTACCCAGATTGTCTGTTCCAGTTTTCGGGGATGTATTGCCTGGATTGCCTAACCCAAACCTCTCAGCCTCAAGCATTCAACCCTGGGTAGGGTGCAGGCAGTGCATCCTGAATAACTATTGGCGCTTGGATGGGAGAATCAGATCCCTAGAAGGGACCTGGGAAATACAGTGCCCTAGTTTTCTCTCACCTCTTCCCCTGTCCTCATAAGTTCTCACAAGAGGGAGGTGCTTGAGGAGAGCTTCACTTCCATTCCATTGGGCCATCACCCAGGGGGTGCCTGGGAGCCGAAAGGCCCACCTGATGTCACAGGAGCATGCTCACCACCGGC